TGGAGGAACAAGTTGCCAAGTGTCATTTTTTGTAGAGCCTAAAACTCCTGTTCCATGGCGGCACGCCAGTGAGGAATACTTAGCACAGCCTAGAAGTGACGGGGTTCTGCAGTGGGATCAACAACAATATGAGCCATGCACGCAGCGAGCCATGCCATAGTCCCATCCGTGCGTCCCTTCGGACGAAAGATGCCGGATTGACTCCGTGTGCGAGGACGAAGGGGGACAGCAGGTTGTGCTGGCGATACCGATGCAATAGGTGAGAGCGGCGAGGCCGCTGCATCTGACGAGTTCGCACCAGAGCTCCCTGGTGATGGCGAGCCGGGGGAAGCCAGCCCACTGGAGGCTGAGGCGGGGCTGACTGGATCTAGCTCAGGGCCGGTCGAAGCAACAGCCGGCCCGGGCGAAGAAATCGCCAGGTCAGGCGAGGCCGGCACCGGGCCAGGCGAGGCAGCAGCCCTGGGCGAGACGGCAGCCGTCAGGCCGGGCGAGGCCAGCATCGGGCCGGACAAAACCGGCGCCCGCGTGGCAGCCTCCACAGGCAGTGCAGAGGCGGGTTGGCGGGTGCCACCCGACATGCATGTCGCATGCACGTCCCGATCGTGAGCCGTATCCGTTGCCTGTTCATCAAGAAGCTCAAGGCGAGCGCCGCGTCCAATACCTGCAGCATGATTAGGAAGCAACGCAGGGGCATATGCAACATCCACAAATTGACCAGGCAAAGATATTGACGATGCACCGGTGGCGGGGGAGTGGTAGAGTTTGGCTGAAGTGCACGAAAGAGGGACACGTTTTCATGAAACACAACGTCACGAGAGATGTAGACGCGATTTGTAGGAACATGAAGGCACCTGTACCCTTTGTGAAGGGAACTATACCCAAGAAAAACACACTTCTTAGACAGGAACTCTAGCTTACGCTTGTTGTATGAATGTAGGTGAGGCCAACACCCACACCCGAACACTTTGAGGAAAGTGTAGTCTGGAATTTCTTTGAGCAAGAGTTCAAGCGGGGTTTGTATTTTCAGAAGTCGTGAGGGAAGCCTATTTATGAGAAAACAGACTGTGGAGAAAGCATCACTCCAAAACCGAAACGGAACGGATGCATGAGCTAGCAAGGTTAGGCCAGTTTCAACAAGATGATGATGCTTACGTTCGGCAGTTTCATTCTGCTGATGTGTATGAGGACAAGACACACGATGCGAAATCCCAAGTTTGTTAAAAAAAGAGTTGAGGTTGTGGTATTCACCCCCCAGTCAGATTGAACATGGATGATTTTCTTCTTAAGGAGACGCTCAACATGTGCTTGAAACTGGATGAAAACATTGAACACATCAGACTTGCGCTTAATAAGATACAACCAAGTAAACCGACTATAAGCATCAATAAAACTGACATAATAATTGTGACCACTAACAGACGTCTGGGCATGACCCCATACATCAGAAAACACAAGCTCAAGAGGATGTTTCACAACACGACTAGACTCTGAAAACGGAAGTTGATGACTCTTGCCCTGCTGACATGCATCACAAATAGTTTCACCAGTTTTATTGGACACAACTGGTAGTTCATGATGATGCAACACATGACGAACTATACGAGCCGCATGATGACCAAGGCGCGCATGCCAGTGCGTAGGCGACACACGAACACCACTGAACGCCTGCGGAGAAAACTGCATGGGAGGTGTGCACGGTGCGTCAAGTGCATACAGGCCATGGCGAAGATGACCGCTAAGCAGAACGGCCCTCGTGTCCTGATCCTTGATAAAGAAACGAAAAGGATGAAACTCAGCAAGGACATTATTATCACGAGTAAGTTGATGAATGGACAATAAACTACGCGTAGCAGAGGGAACTCGAAGGACATTGGAAAGATGCAATTTACAAAAATTGTGTGTGAGGAGAGAAGCCTGACCAACATGGGAGATGCGCATACCTGCTCCACTGGCAGTGTGCACCTGATCATGACCACGATACGGCTCCTGATTAGACAGCTTGCTCATCTCGCCGGTGAGGTGGTTGGTAGCTCCGGTGTCCATGTACCACGTGGGATCAATGGAATAGGATGGAGTGCGACCGTGCTCATGACTCGTCACCGCGACTGCGGCCTGCTTATCATTCCCTTTGCCATTGTTGCCCAGGCCCAGGAAGTCTTGCTTGTAACGACGATGACAACGGGAGGCAATGTGGCGCTCAATGCCACATAGCTGACAGGCCTGCTGAGCACCACAGCAGGGACACCAAGCAACCGGCCGGCTACCGCCAGTGATGGTCGGCGTGTTGCCCCGCGAGGCCTGCTGTTATGAGGGCGCCGTTTTGCCACCGGATGGTGACGACTTTGGAGGTTTACCGCGAGTCGCGACGTGGGCGGAGACGAAGCCGGGGGAGACACGACGCGCCTTGATGCGCTGCTCACGGCCGAGGAGTCGTGCATAAAGCTCACGAGGTGGGAGTGGATCATCCCGGCCATGAACGTTCTCAATGAGATTGTCATAATCATCATCGAGCCCGTTAAGCACGTAGGTGGCGAAATCCTCATCCTGCAGTGGCTGGCCAACGGAGGCCAATGTGTCGGCGAGACCAGTCATTTTGTTGAAGTAGTCCGTGATGCTGAGGTCACCAAGCTTGGTCTCACCCAGCTCGGTGCGTATAGAATGAGCACGCCCCTGAGACTGAGAAGCGAAGCTAGTGTGAAGCGCCGCCCATGCCTCTCGGGACGTAGCGGCAAAGATGACCAGCGATGAAACGCTCGGTGTGAGCGAAGACTGGATGGCGGAGAGGATGGCCTGAGCCTGGGCCACCCATGTGTGGTACGCCGGATGATGAGGGGGCGGACACGGGATGGATCCGTCAACATAGCCCTCCAAGTAGCGGCTCCGCAGAAGAGGCAACACCTAAGCACGCTAGGACAAGTAGTTATCTGGCGCAAGCTTCACCGGCAGCAGGTGCTAGAAGTAGAACGGCGACGACACCGCGGCCTGATCAGCATGAGCATGTGTCGGTGGTGCATAAAGACCCATCGACGGAGCCATCTCGGCATGAGCAGCAGGTGTCGAGTACGGTGCTTAGGATCCGGGAGGACCAGCGGCGAGGGCGCCATAGTTCGGCGCAACATGAGCCCCATAGGGTGAGGCGGCCGCGGCCATGTGAGGCTGCAGTTATGGAGTCGCCGCGGCCCCGTAGGACTGCTGCAGCGGAGCGACCGCGGACCCGGAAGGCGGCTGCGGCGAAGGGGCCGCGCCCCCATGTTGTGCTGGATAGGGTTGAGGTGGCGGCGGCCCGCAGGGATGCCGCGGGGGCGCCGCGTAGAGTTGGTGAAGCGGCGGCGCACCATACGACGCCACCTGCCATGAAGACGACGGCGGCGGCGGTGCACCATGGGCCACCGGGAAGGCGTCGTACGAGTTAGAAGTGACGCCGTAGGGCGACAGCGGGGCGACGCCGTAGGGCATTGGTGCGGCGACACTGTAGGGCGGCAGCGTAGTGATCTCGGTCGAGGCAAGGTCCCCCGAGGCGCCAGATCCGATCGGAGAACCTGGCGGCGACAGGGCTCCATAGGCCGTCGCGAGAGGCTGAGAGGCGAGGAGCGGCGATGTAGGGGCGAGGACCGGCGGCCGCGGCGGGAGCAGCGGAAGACCACGTAACCTACTCTGATACCATGTAAAACAAGAGATTTGGGAAACTGCCCGACACTCTAAACAAGTGTGGCTATCTCATTATATAAAGGTACCAAGGGGTACAATACAATGTTATAATGTTTATACAGATGCTACGTATATACACAGTCTAACAGAGTGGTCTCGACAAATCGCAGCTACTGCTCCTCCACGTCGATGGCGGGCCACAACACCATCTAAATTGATTTTCTGGGTGTGAATCGGTGGAGGTATCCAACGTTGCTGCACATTACTGGAAGGTACACTCGCTGGTTTAATAGCCCTAGCTTTCGGAAGTTGATCTAGCTCATTTATGTAGGAGTTGACAAAAGAGAAAACCTGATAATGGACTTTGAAAGATTGCTTCATGTATTGTCTTTCGTCTCGCATATCATATAGACCATAATGTGATAACCATCCGTGCAAACTCCTTTTGGTCCAACACATCATTCATTTCAAAAAGCCAACTCTTAGCACTGGATTCAGTGTTCACTGTCATTTTAGATACTAGATTGTCATCAGTAAGTGCCCAAGTGCATCTGGCGTTTGTACAGGATATTAATGCATGGCGCCACGAATCTACACAGCCGCAGAGTGGGCATGCATCCTGCTCAGCCATGTTGCGATGCTTCAGCACATCCGTCGTTGGCAAGGAGTGTTGAGCTAATCTCCAGACAAAGACCTTTGAAGGAACTACGATGCTCCAAAGCGAAGACCACGAATTCGCTTCCCTCTCCGTGTCCGACTGACCCGCTCTTCCTTCCAACCAATTCTCTCGTTGGATTTTTGTAGTGACCATGAACTTATATGCTGAACTGACCGTAAACAGTCCCCTACCATCAGGGTGCCACGCCCAGAAATCAGAAATGTTCCTAAAGCGTGAACTCATTTGCTACCAACATTACGTACACTACAAGTTTTGACTTTGGAAGGTAAATGGATGAAAATAGTTGTACATATTATGTGGTAAGCAATCTCAAAACAAATAATGTAAAAAAAAAGGTTTCATGTGTTCTTTGATATTTTCAGCAGGTTTTATTTTCTGCTCAATTCTTTTTCTATCTAATAAAAAATAGAGATCCCACGGAAAATAAAATTTACGCATTAATAAAATGTCCCAAATTGGCAAGCACCAAACAATGTCTCAATAATGACAAAAGGAGATCACAAAGCTAATAAATGATGTAAACTAAAAGAAGCACTATGAACATATAGCTAGCATAGAAAACCTGGTCGATCAGAATAAAAGAACATCAAGAAGCACGTTACTCTGTGTCGACAACAAAGTATGTTACCGCAACACGTGCGAGTGGGGATTAGTATTATTTCTCGCGGCGAGTTCAGGACGGGCCGGGCGCTGGCGCCGGCGCGGCGCTCCCACCGGCCCGCTTGATGAGGGCAGTGACGGCCCCCATGACCTTCTCGAACTCGTTGCCTTTGGGTAGCAGCCCGGTCTTGACGGGCGCCGTGAGGCCATCCCGGCACTGGTCGCAGTTCCACGTCAGCCCGTCCTTCTCGGCGCTCTCCACGTAGTCGCGCGCGTCGTTGAACTTGGCGTCGTCCATGGCGGTGACGCCGCCCTTGCCCCTGTCGACGTCGAGGTGGGAGACGGCCTCCTCCACGTCGGCGACGCACGAGTCCATGCACTGCCACTGCGGGCCCTTGATCGTGACCAGGTTCAGCTGGGTGCGCGCGGCCGTGCCCTCCGCGGCGCCGATCTTGGCCGCGGCACGGATGCCCAGCTCCGCCAGCCCGCGCGCGTCCACCGTCATGCTCTCCGGGATGCCTGCCAGGAAGGCCACGCAGAACTGCTGGTCTGGCGCCTTGGAGCAGGCGTCCTTGGCGGAGTTGCCGGCGGCGGTGACGAGGAGTGCGCTGGAGAGGAGGAGGAGGAGGAGGAGGGATAGGAGGTTGACACTAGGCGTGTTGCAACGCGCCGCCATGGCCATGGTCGATCGATGAACTCGCTCCGGCCTGAGGATCGATTTGTCTTGGGAGTGGTGACGAGAGCTGCATGTACGTACGTATGTGCATGTGCCCGCTCGGTGCGCGTGGTCAGGAGTGTTTTGTGAGCGAGCGGTGGCTGAGTTTTAAGGAGAGCAACGCGCGGACTATGGATTACCAGCACTCCTAATATTAGTAAAAAAAAGAGAGTATATACTAGTATTTTGCAAACGAATGCAATCATATTATTTCAGCATGTTCAATACATGCATAGTGTAATTTTACACATATTAAAGGGCATATCTATGTCTATGTGGATTAAGGTCATGAATCTCATTTGCTTTAGAAAACCATAGGTTCAGTTTAGTGAAGATTGCAACTTGCGCCTGCTCTAGTCTCTCTTTTTCTAAGAAAAAGTGCACTTTTCCAAATTTGAATGAGACTTGAGAAAATTATACTCAGATGGTTAGGTTACTTCGATGGAACCAACCCACACGGTTCAAGTCATAGATTTGGCATTGGTGGTCGCATTTTTTTGTATATATTTCAGGCCTTCCGGTGATGTGCGTTCAGTGGAGGGAGACGTTCCCATTGACTAAGAAGGTGTCTGTGGCAAGTTCGTCAATTTCAAGATGATGTGTTGGCTCAGTCTCCCGGAGGTGCTCATAGGGTAGGGGGTGTGTGCGCGTGCGTTTATAAGGATGAGTGTATGTATGTATGTATGAGCATCTACGTCTGTACTATGTTGAAAAAAACGTAGTTAAGAGCGCCAAGTACATAGCAATGATATAGTAACGACATGCAAGTTATATCACACCAGATTGAAAACCATTTGATTATTGTTCGAAAGTACTCCTCTGATAAGAAATATATGCTGTTTTTGGATATAATGGGCGAAGTTTTATGTTTTTTTTTGGGGAAACTTAAGAATAGCGAGCAAATACTAAAACAACCTACGAAAGCGAGTTCTTTTTACAACCATATTTTTCTAGCTGCACCTAGCAAATCAAAAAATTTATGGTCTAAGCTTGAAATTGATTTACGAAATTAACTAAAATGACAAGATTTCTAAGCATAAGGAGTAATGATAATGCTGACGGCTGAAATTTAAATTTTTACAATGGTATCTAAGTTTATTTTCTATGATGTACACTCTCTGTAAAGAAATATTGGTAGTGATCTAAATGCTTTTATATTTTTTTACGGAGGGAGTGGCAAACAATCTTATTTTTGTTCCAGTTTCACTTATAAACTGGATTGTTCTCTTTTCAAAATGAGTCACACTCAAGTATTCATGTGAGGAGCCCCCCCCCCCCTCTTCCCCAGTGGTTGTTTCAAAATAAAGAAAGAAAACAAGTTTGTAGACTTATGCAAATTCAAGGATCCATGTTATGTGAAAAATAATCACTTCCGCTTGACTCCAATAAATTCAGTAACTTTGATATTTTTTCACAAGTCATATATTAACAAGCAAACTGATTCACAAAAATGATTAACAAGCAAACTTTTGTGCAAATTCAATCCTTTAGGATTCCGGTGAGCACAACATTGTTATCTTATTGTTTTTTCCTATTTTAGAGTATTTGTTGTCGCGCAAATAAAATGAGCCATTAGAATTCTCATGGTTTTTCTATATGTATTAGTTGTTTAGCTTTCTTACTAACTTTTGGTTGTCTCTCCCCACGTAAAGATTGTTTAACTTGCAGGATTATCTTCCTTCAACTTGTTCCCCCAAGAATTCCTTTCCACCAAGAAAAAAATTTGATTCAGTCAAACAAATGTTTTTTTTGTTTTTCCTTTCCTACAATCAAACAAGCATTGGTGCAAATTTATTCTTGTTGAATTTAGTGGTGGTCATGTCCTTCTGCGGAAATATTAAAATGTGGACGATGTTGGCCTAGTAAGTGAATTATTTTGTAACAATATTATGTACTCTCTCCTTCCTTCAAAGAGTGTACTTTCAACTTTGTTGGAAGGTCAAATTATTTTAAAGTTTGACCGAGTTTGTGTAAAAATATATCAACGTTTGTGAAACCAAATTGGAGTAGATGAAAATATATTTTATCATGAATCTAATGCTATTAATTTGATGGCATAAATGTTGCTATACTCTTGTATAAATACAGTCAAACATAAAAAAATTTGACTTTTTAGCAAAGTTAAAAATACACTCTTTTAAGGACGGAGGGAATACACAAAAGCTTTGTTATTCGAAACACGTCAAGAAAGACAGAGTAGTATGTAAAACAAGTTTAATTTATTGATAAGAGACATTTTTGCAGAATAAAACAAGTACTACGTACAATTATGACAACCTATATATAGCTAAGACGGAGTAGTATGTAACACTTGTGGGTGCGTACATATAATATAAAAGCACATCAGGAATGGTATATCGCTAGTGCGAATTATGCATCTCATGGAAGAATAGCGGGTTTCGGCGGCACCGGCGAGGCGCCCCCGTCGGCGAGCTTGATGAGCTGGCGGGTAACGTTCATCATCCTGTCGAAGTCGAGGTTCTTGCGGAGCAGCTCGGTCTTGACCGGGCTGGGCGGCGTGTCCCGGCAGGTCTCGTCGCAGGACCAGGTGTCCTGCTCGGAGAGGTCGATGTACTGGCGGACCTGGTCGAACTGGGCGTCGTTGACGCCGCCCAGGGCGTCGTCCAGGTGCGACAGCGCGTCCTCGATGTCCTCGGCGCACTCGTCCAGGCACTGCCACGTCGGGTTGTCCTTGACCAGATCCAGCTCGCGGCGCGCGTAGGCCCCCACCAAGCCGCCGAGCTTGGCGGTGACCTTCATGGCGATCTCCGCCAGCCCGCGCGCGTCCGCCGTCTTGGTGTCCGGCTCGGGCCCGAGGAAGGAGTTGCAGGTGATCGGGCCGTCCGTCTTGGCGCAGGACGCCTTGACGTCCACGACGGGGCCTTTGGCGCGGGCGCCGAGGAGGGACGCCGAGGCGGAGGCGAGGAAGAGGAGGACGAGGAGGGAGGAGACGTGGCAGCCGCCCGTGCTGCTGCGGCGCGTGGCCATGGTCGACGTATGAGCACGATCCACTCCGGCCGGCCGGGAGGCGGTCTCTATCGATCGATCGATCACGAGAATGCGAGTGGGGCGTGGGTGAGTATATACGCGCGCGCGCGAGCGACCAGAGGCTGGCTGGCTGACTGCATGCATGCATGGATGCGCGCGGCCGTTCAGCGAGTGTGGTCGGGAGTGTGTCGTGGGTCACTGCTCTATGCATGCCGCTCGTTTGAAAGCGGCTATTTCTGGCGTGCACCCGAACACCATCATGTTTGCACACCACCCAAGATGCCGCATGCACTATGTTCCATGCCTAATTTGATCGTGACATCGAGGGCTAGGTGTGTATGCGATTTCAAGAGTTTTGTTTTTCTTTGTCTTTTTAAAAGAAAAAAAGTCCATTTTACTACCTGAATAAAGTGGGTGGTTCACTTTACTCCCTGGTTTATTTTTCAGCTCTTATACCACCCTAAACAATCTCATACCGGACAAAAAAGCACCCTAGGTGGTTTACCCAGACCAGATGATGACGTGGACACAGTCAAAGGTGGTATTTGACCTGCCGGTGGGTCCCACTCATCAGTTTTTGTAAAAAAACAAAGAAATAGAAAAAAGAAAAAAAGGGGTGCCCCCTACTGCAGTAGCAGCCTGCCACAGCGGCGGTAGCCGGTGCGCGCGGAGCCGGCAGGCGGCCGTGGCGGGCGGAGTCGGCGCGGGCCGAGTGCGGGAGGCCGAGTGCGACCAGGCACAGCGACGGGTTCGCGCGCACGAGGGCAGAGCGGCACGGACCGGCTTGGGCGCGGACTGGGCTGCGCCCGCGAGGGCAGAGCATGCGTGGTCGGAGCCGGCGAGCGGAGCCGGTGTGTGTCGAGCGGGGGAGGATGGGCGCGGCCAGGCTCAGCGTTGGGTTCACGCGCACGAGGGTAGAGCGGCGCGGACCGGCTTGGGTGCGAATAGGACCGCGCGCGCGAGGGCAGAGCGGGGGCGGTCGGAGCCTGCGGGCGGCTGGGGACGACGACGCGAGCAGCGCGCGAGGGCGGCTGGGGTCCAGAACGCAAGCTCGGGGAGGAGGCGGGGTGGCGCAGTCGTGCGGCCAGAGCGGTGACGGGGCGGACGGCGCCGGAGCCAATGCGGCGGAGGAGGGAGGCGAGGCCGAGTGGGGTGCTCACTGAGAGCGCCATGGCGAACGGCGGGGCGGCGTAGCCACGGGAGGAGGTGGGCTAGCGCGGGGTGGAGCAGGTGGCGACGCGGCTCGTCGGCGGGGTCGCGTTGGAGCCGGAACGAAGCGCGAGGGAGCAACGGAGATGCCCACGCCCGACCTAACAAGGGGGGCCCACCGAGGTCAAAACCACCGTTGACTAATGCCACATCAGCAGCGAGTGGAGACAAACCAGTTAGGGGGTGTTTTGTCCTATTTTGATTTGTTTGGGGTAGAAAGAGCCAAAAAATAGATCGGGGATAAAGTGAACCATCCACTTTATTCGAGGTAGTAAAATGAACTTTTTTATTTTAAAATGATGGTTGTTTTCACCGGCAGTACAAACGAAGGTTTATTTACACTTAACAACAGTGGACAAAGCCGCCACAAAAGCAGGAACCGGAAAGGAGGAGGAAACGAGCTCATCACTACGTGCACTTCTTGTCCAAGTCGCAAGTGCTATTTAGTACCCAAAAAGGTTTTTGCCTTGCTTTATATTTTTTTAAGGGAAAACCAAATTTATTCAGCAAAATCCACATGGAATGGGATACAACTTTGGTCATGGGGTGCGCCCAACCAAACCTGACGACCCAGACCTCTAGATAGTGCAAGCTTAGCTAAACTCTGTGCCTCATAATTAACGGCACGAGACTCAAAAGGAAAAATACAATGAAAAGTAACAACTCTAAGGTTTATTTCAGTAACAATTCACCATATGCACCCCGTGCACCTACGTTGATGTCAGAGACAACTTTCTAGCAATATGAGGTCACAACAAATTGCTGGATGC